GTTTGATCTAAATGCTCTTCTGAGCTTGACGAATCATAAAATGCTCATAAAAAGCCAAGGAAAGATTTAAATACAACGCCTGAATTTTTTATTACGTGAAATACTTCAGGCGGATTGTGAGCTGGCAGGGCAGTCGAACCTGCTCAGAAAGTTGTTTGCAAGTGTGCTGCCAAGCTTCACGGTGTAGGATTAGAGATAAAAGCTCAAACTCCCACAGAGAAACACACAGCGGACAATTAATCAAAGAACTATTAAGGAAGCAGATTGTGTTTGTATTGCGCTGTTTAACGACACTTAAACCAGTGAGTCAGCTGTCTCAAGGGAGTCATCTAGCTTATTAACAATAGGATCATTCTCAGTGTGATGCCCTCCAGGATGTGATGCAAGAAGGAGATATTTTAAAAAGAGAGTCAGTTTGAATTGATTTTTAATTTTTATGTTGAACTGAAGATATTTAATTGGAATTGTATTTTCTTCGGTGAGACACTTTTTAATCGGTATTTTTTAATATAAAAGAACTTTTACATACATTTTTATATTAAAATGACTTTTATATTGAAAAATACAGTAAAATACTAATGTAATATCTTCAGTCAGGAAGTATTATGTCAACGTTAAAGTCATGGAAAACGTTCTCACTATTTTACATTGAAAAATACCATAAAAAATCCATAAAAAAATCACTTTTATATTGAAAAATACCATAAAATTGGAATATTTTCAGAATCGGAATCAGACAGTATTATGTCAGTGTTAAAGGGCCCATATCATGGAAAACGAAATTGTTCTCACTGTTTTGAAATAAAAAATGGAACGTAGTAAGTAAACATTTAAAAACCTAACACTTTAGTCTGCACAAGGGGTTTAGTCTGTGTGGTAGAGGGTTTAGTCTGTGTGGTGGGGTTTAGTCTGTGTGGTAGGGGTTAGTCTTTGTGCTAGGGGTTTAGTCTGTGTGGTAGGGGTTAGTCTTTGTGCTAGGGGTTTAGTCTGTGTGGTAGGGGTTTAGCCTTTGTGGTAGGTGGTTAGTCTGTGTGGTGGGCGTTATTGGGGTAGGGGGTTAGTCTGTGGTAGTGGTTTATTCTGTGTGGTAGTGGTTTAATATGTGTGGTAGGGGTTTAGTCTATGTGGTAGGGGTTTAGTCTGTGTGGTAGGGGTTAGTCTGTGTTGTGGGGGTTTAGTCTGTGTGGTAGGGGTTAGTCTGTGTGGTAGGGGGTTAGTCTGTGTGGTGGGGGTTTAGTCTGTGTGTTAGGGGTTTAGTTTTGTGGTAGGGGTTAGTCTGTGTGGTAGGGGGTAAGTCTGTGTGGTGGGGGTTTAGTCTGTGTGTTAGGGGTTTAGTTTTGTGGTAGGGGGTTAGTCTGTGTGTTAGGGGGTTAGTCTGCACAATATCATGGAAAACAGAATTATCCTTATTATTTTAAAATAAACAAACAAACAAACAGCTTTTGAATGTGCAGCAATGCAGGGCTTTCATTCAGAACAGAGTCATTTACATACATTAGTCTTAAAGGTACAGTAACAAAAACAGCCTGTTTAAATCTAAGAGATAAAGAGTGGTTAGAAAGTGGTCATTAAAAATGAATTATGACTCTTTTTGCTACATAAAACAAGGGCATAAGTGGGGGGGGACCTCAGTGGGGGGGAATCCAAGAAAAATGTTGGGCAAATGTTGAAGCATCAGCTTTAAATCATATTAATGTTTGGGAAGTGCAAACTTGTCTTATAACCTCTAACAAGGCAAAAAACAACCAGTGCAGACTTGTTTACAAGCAGTGCCCTGTAATCACAGGCAGTGTTTATCACAATGTATGTACAATATACAGACATCATGCGTTAGAGCAGGCCAACACAAAACAAATGCCAGTTTGGATTATACTGAGATGATACAGTGGGGTCCTGCAGTCTGAGACCACTTTGAAACTCACTTTTATATGAACCTGCAAATAAACAACAAAACGTTTTAGGATTTTAAAAAATATTTTAGAGAAACTTACCAAGCCAGGACTATTTACAGTGGTGGTGACAGGAACCAGACGTCTAAAGAGTTTAATGCCTCTAAAAGCTCCTTCACAGAAAGTTATTACACAAAATGGTCATGAATACACTGCCTGATGTCTAAGACACTTTTCTGATAAGCCTTTCGGCCAATATATATTTTTTAAAGCCATTCTATATAGTTAAATATATGCAGGGCGTTCTGAGGCAAAACAGTACCTAAAGAAAACAGCTTATCACTATTTCACCATCATCCACGTTACAGAGAAAGCTCAGAAGACTCGTGTAGGTTCACTGGTGGTTTTGGACAGTAAATAAAATGTCTGTATTTGTGTTGTAGACATTGTGACGTCTGGTTCCTGTCAGCACCACTGTAAAGAATTCAGAGTTTTTCTCTATAATGTCACATCAAAGCACTCTGAATAACTTTGTTTACATCTCATTGGCTAAATTATGCATAAATTTGTCAAAATTGGTGAAATTTCCCTTTTGGCCTTCATGCAAAAAGGTCAGATTTAAAAAAAAATCGTATTTTCCATTGAAGCTTGTGTTCAGATGACTCTCAGGTGGATCTGATCTACTCGTAAGAGGCTTTCTCACAAACTTGGAGTCCATGACCAGCTCGAGTGCACACTGTCATTATAGCAAAAGGGGTGTACCACCAAATACTGAAATAAAAAGTAATTCAGAAATTCGTGGTTCACTCAAATTGTTCTGCTTATAATATAATCTGTAATGAACAACTGTGTACTGAACTAGAAAGTTAATAAAAGTTAATAAGAGTTTTGACCCCCCAGCCCCCCAGGTGTTTCTAATAAAGCAGCCAGTGATGCAAGAAACAGTTGAGTGGATACGTACTAAATATGAGTAGCACTGTAGCAGCACTGTAAATGAAAGTCTAAGATGATAACTGGGTCTATTCGTGTTCAGTAAGTGTCCACATTTGTGAGTGTGCTGGGATTTGGATGCAGCCAGACGACTGTCCAAGGCTCGGGCGTCTGAGAGCGATCTCGGAGTGCATGCCACAGACCTAAGCAGGGAATTTTCTCAGTATTTCAGGAATGCTAAGGGAGGGACCGGAGCCGCATGCTAAAGGAAATACTTGTGCAGAGTGGAATGGGAACTCTAAACAACCAGACAATAAAACCACTGCCACTTTCAACAGAAAGATGCTTGTTTAGCACCTCGCTGTGCCAGAGGCTCACGATCACTCACATTGTTTTTTTGTGATTTATTTATTCTGGATCATTACATAAGCTAGTGAGATGTAGATGGCAAAGATCTATCATCATGACACTTTCAAGAAACGGTATATGCCACAATTTTTCACTTTTTCGACATGTGGTAAATTGGAACAGACAAAAAAAAAGAAACCACGTTTTAAAAACTACTTTCAAAAACTATGAATGCAATGATTTGTGTTCAACATTTCACACACTGTGCAGCACTAAATCCAATGAAACTCTTCCGGTTAGGCTAATTATGCTCTCAGTGTAATGAAACATGCAGATGGTCAGTGTTCTTTCAGTACTGACAATGTCCACGATATGCTCACAAAAACATATCGTGACTTAATATCACAATAATGATAAATATCATCATCACATTGCCCAGCTCTAGTGAGACATATCATTGTCCACAGTGGTGCATAGAAATGAAAAATGCTTATTTTATGTTAGGGGTGAGCGATATGCCGATATTTATTATTATCGTGATAAATTATGTCTCATGATATCACAACATTCTGAGCAGATTAAGGATATTGTACTTCAAGTGTCGAGTGAATGCTGTCATTAAAGCAAAAGCAAACAGAAGAAATTCAGAAATTCATGTAAATATTTCAAAGATTATACTTTTCACATCAAACTGTTATGCTGATAATATAAATTGTATATAATGTAATTTGTAAATGTATTAAATTAGAAAAGAACGCAAAATAAAAGCATTTTCACTATTTCACTAGTGGTTTCAGAATTTTGGACCCCACTGTAGGTGTTTCTAATAAAGAAATAATAAAAAATGCTTATTTTACATTAGTGGTGAACAATATGGTGACATTTATCATTATTGTGATAATGTACACAAATCACATTATGTCACAGTATGGTTTTCTGAGCATATTGTGGAAATCATAAACAATAAAAACACTGACTAACTGCATGATAACTGCAATTAATCCTGTTTAACTGGATTCAGTGCAGTGCAGTGTGTAAATAAATGTCACTGTAGTCTCAGTATTTGACATTATTTTTTTAATGAGGCTCTTATTACAATTCAGAAAGATAAAATATCCTGAAAAATGATGTTGAAATATTATATTTTTGCTATTTCACATGTAGTACATGGGATAACGTATGACTTATGTTCACAATGTGTGAAGACTAGTGTATTTTACCCTTTTCTTAAAAAAACAGCCCATTTCACAGTCAGTAGTTGAATTTTTAGAGGTGATGTATTGAGCGTTTTGAATCTCTTTGCTGTTCAGGGATTCAGTGCAGCGCAGAGGAGCTAGCATTAAATTACCATTACTGAAATCTTTAACTCAGAGAGACAACTGCACCGGGCCCTCGCTATTAGGATATCCCATAAGGCTAAACCTCAGGCAAATCCCAAATTCTCATGACAGTAACGAGAGGGTAATGAAAATAATGACAAAGTTGGAGTCGGCAGGCTTCATTTAGAGACGCTCTAATGTGAAACAGGGCTACAATATGTATCACCCCGGGCCAGCCGTGCTAGAACGCTGCTAATCGTGACCACATGTGCAGGAACAATTATATGGGCTTTAAAATAGTATATGCCTCACCAGGCTCGTGAATAGCTTGCACTTGGTGGTTCGCAGCGAGTCTCGACATTTACAAGCTTTGTTGAGCAACACCTCACAATGCTCCTCGTTAACTGAAAAAGCAACAAGTAGCTTTGCATGTGGATTAGGTTTGTGCGTAAGTGGTGAAGTCGCTGTAATTCTTGTCTTTTTGTCCTGACTTTTCCTGCTTTTGCCATTGCAGACCTCAGCCGGAGCGCGAGCCTCTCGGAGAAGGAGCTGAAGGAAGCGCGGACTCGGAGTCAGATCATCGCAGCGCAGCTGACCGTGCCGTCTAACACCAACTCCAGAGGTGTCCAGCTTTTCAACCGCCGCAGACAGAGGGTCAATGCCTTCACGCTGGTGAGCGTGGGAGGTGGAGAAGGAGGCCACCACCAGTCCCGGAATGAACCAGACTCTCCTGCTTCAGGCACGTTGACATGGGAGCACTCGACTGACAGCCAGTCCGGAGATTTGAACCACAGAAGTAGCCAGATCCTGCGGCCGTCCATCAAGGGACGTGACATGGAGGCGGAGGAGGTGGTGTGTGAGCTGGGAGAAGTGGAGGACAGGGCAGGGGACAGACATTTTGTTCCTGTAAACGAGAAGGACGAGGACATAGCTGAGGAATCAAAGGATGGAGGTGACAGCACAGCTGTTCTTGACCGAGCTGGACAAGAAGATGTGCAGTTAACAGTGGAATTAAAGGGCCCAGCAGATGCTTTTAAAGACATCCCAAATGGCTGCCACAGCACTGAGCACAATGGACAAGCAGCCAAGCCAGCATCAAAGCAGCCAAACATCATGAACAGGACGGCTCGGCCATTTTTCTCCCCAGGCGCAGTGACCTCGGCTGGGTCTGGAAGCCCTGCTCCGGACACCCCAGCACCCTCCTACTCCACTCCTCCACTCTCTGCTCCACCTGACAGCGACCTGCGTCCACCAACTCACGTTGATCCCCCTTTCCCAATATCATCCAGACCAGCATTCTCCCCTCCACCTCCTGCACCTTCGTACCCGACCCCTCCGCTTCCCACCTACATGAGCCCACCTCCGTCTGTCCATTCTAATCCTCTACCCTCTGCCATGTCCCCCCCACCAGCCCCCGTCTACTATGCCCCTCCGACTGCGCCCCGCCCCACCTTCATCCCTCAGTTTGTGAGCGAGAGGAGGTCAGTGACACCAATTCGGACGGGAATCCTGGATGAAGGCGTCGTCCGGCGGGCCAACCGCAAGTCAATGTTCACTTTTCAGGAGAAGCCGAAGTTAGCCCCGAACCCTGAGCTCTTGTCTCTGGTCCAGGGGGCTGATGAGATGAAGAGAGGACGGGGCCAGTCGGAGCCGCCACAGCAGGAGGAGGAGCTCCTGGCCCTTGGAGCAGAGGCCTCCAACTTCCTTGCCAAAGATGAGGGCGGAGTGGAGGAGGCCTTTGTGCCGGAGTGGGCATCGACACTCAGAAGCACCAGAACCCGGGGCAGGACGGAGCACAAGCCCGAGCACAAGCCCGAGCAAGCCCTGATGGACGCATCTGGGAAGGGGGCAGAGCTTTTCACCAAGCGCCAGACCAGAATGGAGAAGTACGTTCACGAAAACAAAGCCGGAGTGAGATCTCCTTCTCCAACCTCGTCCTTACCTCCCTCCTGGGTATATCCATCAAACATGCCTGGTCGAGTGAAGGCCATCGCTAACTCTTCCAACATCAGTGCGCAGATTGCAAAGTCTCTCCATACCCAGCAGGCCACCAACAAGAAGAATGTTCCGGCAAAGGTGCAAGCACCCGCACCACCTCTGGTCCCGGAAAGCCCGGCGTTGGAGAATGGCTGCAGCAGAGTGGAAATGGAGCTATCCCGGCACCAACCTTACCAGCTTAATTCCTCTTTGTTTATCCTCAGCCCTACCAAGGACCCCATTGGCACCCTTCCAAGAGCAGCGCCGCCACCCAAACCTGTGTTGACTGGACCCTCCTACCCCAGACAAACTTCTCTCCCATCCAGCCCCATAACTGCCCAGTACAGTCCTTCAGCCACCTACAGATCGGCACATTGCTTCTCTCCTCCCGTGATGCCCCTGAGCAGCAGCTTGGCCTCCCCTGTTTCAGGCTCAGCTCCTGAACGCGTGGCTTCACCTAGGTCTACCATCCAGGCACCCAAACCCACCTACTCTGCCAAGAAAGCGGGGATTGCCCCACAGGTGTGGAAGCCGTCCTTCTTTTAGTCTATTTCTCTTCTTCCAAAACGTTCTGCTGCTCTTGTTTACTCACTGCACTTTACAGACCAACACGTGATGAGGCTTAACAGGGGACATACCGGGCTGTTTGTCCGATTAGAGCTGACGAAACAGGCACAGGCAGCCTCGGGAGGTGTTCCAGGAAAAAAGAAAACGCAATAAACGCTATAGATTATTTTCACACACAGTATATTGTTCTCTCCAGGCATCCAGGGTGCCTTTCGCTCCCGATTTAATGATGAAATATGCTTTACTGTAGTTTATTTTCCCTAGTTTTGCATGGGGAGGCAATAAACGTCAGGTATTCTGCTGAGAAATGGCAACCACTTCACGCTGTGCTCAGAAGCTGGCCACCAGAGGGCTTTTTTGGAGTGTTGTGGCCCGCAGCCCCCACTATATTTGTGTCTTATTTTTGGACACGTCACTAAATAAAGCCATAGCGATTTAGTGCAGCTCTCACTTTAAAGACGCTCAGGCCAAATATCTTTCAGGTGAGAAACCAGTAGGTTGCTTCCAAGTGTTCAAGATAAAGTCTGCTACGGTCTTTTAAAGCACTTCAGCAGATGGTGTCTCGGGTTTATGATCTACGAGTTGCAATTCAAAACGTACAGACATGAAAGGAGGAGTGAGGGAAATCCTTCGCCGCCTCTAAGCCTTCACCAGTGCTCTTTTTCTTATTTTCGATGCAAGGAAGCAATAATTCCACGTAATTGCCGTCTCCACATGCTTTGATAACACGAGAGAGGAGGACAGTGTTGCATTTGTTTTCCAAATATTAAACGTTTCTCAGATTAGGTCGATTAGATGATCTTATAGGACTCCTCCATCTCTTTCACTGAACGTTTAGTTTCTGCTATTCTAGTCTTTTTCTCTTTCTCTGACTGTTTTCTGGTGTTTCCCTCTGCTTTCCCTTTGATTAAAACGCAACAGAAACTCTGCTCTCTGGCCTCTTTATTCTTTCCACAGTGCTTTAATATCTGTAATCTTTGTTCCTGTCCTTTTGCTTTTACTGCCTGACTCATTTTTTCACCATTTCCTTGTTTACCTTTTACATACTGCTGTAAACTCAGCCCAGATTCTCAGATATTCTCTTACTGACTCGCTTAGGAAATAACAGAAAATTCAGAAAGACATTTGTTGGTGTTAAAGTAAAACCCTCATCATTTCTGAAACTGTTTATATGCAGCTTGAAGTGCCTACAGAGAAAAATACAGGACAGAAATAAAATTCATACAAACAACTGGACCAAAATGACAGAAGACTCGTAAACACAGCAATTTACAGAACAACCGTGAAGCAACCGTGAAATAAAGCTCGTTAAGGGGAAACTTTTGCGATTTTTCCTGCAAAATTATTAAATGGTTGAGATATGAACAGAGTCATTCAGAGTGGTTTGGTCTGAAATGGTCTGTTCTACAGAAACTTATTGAGCCAGACTTGTTCACAGTGGTGGTGATAGGAACCAGACATGCCTCTAAAAGCTACAATACAGAAAGTTATTACATGAAATAGTTATGAATACCCTGAGACACTGTCTTACAGTAGGTTTGTGATACCATTTTTCATCGATGTCAGAATGAAACCTTGTATCTTCAAAATAGTAACTTTAAAGGAGAAGGAAAAATCTTTCTTAGCTTGTAGTGAAAGTTATTGCAACCAGGATTTTTCCAAATTACCTTTGCACCACTTGTGCTGGTCCGTTCATAGTGAAATTTTAACACAAAGCAAAACTGGAGTTTTTTTAAATTATGCAAAATAGTTAAAAATGACAAAATTAGAGACATAGTGGAGAGCAGTTCGAGGCAAAATAGGCCCAAAGAAACCTTATTTATTTCAGATTTTCAACTATTTTACCATCATCAATACCACAGAACTTCAGTGTCCAAAGAAAAACCAAGTATCTCCAAAAAGACAACAAACAAACAAAGCAAAAATGCTACTTTTAATGTAAGTTAATGTAAAGAGATTTTATTCTAAATGATTTTGGATCAGCCCTGCGATGGACTGGCGACCTGTCCAGGGTGTATCCTGCCTTCCGCCCAATGACAGCTGGGATAGGCTCCAGCACCCCACCGCGACCCAGAAGGATAAGCGGTTTAGATGATGGATGGATGGATGGATTTTGGATCATTTCTATTGGTCCATTCATCATGAAATTTTCACACCATGTAAAGGGCAACTGCTGAGCCCGAATGACGTAGAAAAAAGGAAAATCACAAAAAGTTAAGATAAAAAATTGTTGACAATGAGGATATAAAACTCAGAAGACTCATGTAGGTTCACTGGTTGTTTTGGACAGTAAATAAAATGGCTATATTAGTGTTGTAGACATTGTGATGTCTGGTTCCTATCACCACCACTGTAAAGAAATCTGAGTCTCTACAGTGAACCATTTCACACCAAACCACTCTGAGTGACTTTGTTTATATCTCAACCTCTGAATTATGCAGAATAATATAAGCCTTTAATGGCCAAGTTGAATCAGGGTGTTAGGGCAAGTACACTGCAGTGCTGTGATGCACCAGAATCTGAATTTGAATTTGTTTTCTTCCTTTAACTACATTCTGAAAATAAAATTAATCGTATGAAAGCAATAACAAGTCGTAAAATATTATAAAAATGTATTAAATGCATACAGTTTACAGCAGGTGACAAATCTGCATTGATGGGATTCAGTACTTTTTTGTGTTCTGTTTCTGGCACATTCAGTAAGCACTAAAAGTGCTTAAATGGAAACTGTGAGCGCATTTAGTAAGACTTTTATTATGCCATTAAAGGGGAATTCCACTGATTTTACAAAATATCAGTATGATTAAAAGGTTGAGATGTAAACAAAGTCATTCAGAGTCGTTTAGTGTGAAATCTAGAGAAACTTACAGAGTCTGAATTGTTTACAGTGGTGGTGATAGGAACCAGACGTCTGAAGAGTTTAATGCCTCTAAAAGCTCCATCACAGAAAGTTTTTACATGAAATGGTTATGAATTCACTGCCTGATGTCTGAGACATTGTTCCAGTAGTGTTGTGAGACGATTTTGGCCAGAACATATACAATTTTATCTATTTATGGTGGAAGGGTATGTGCAGGGTGTTGTGAGGCAAAATAGTCCCAAAAAAACCTTCCAGATTTCCACTATTTTACCATCATCAACATCACATATTCACACTCAGAAGACTCGTGTAGGTTCACTGGTGGTTTTGGATGGTAAATAAAATGTCTGTATTTGTGTTGTAGACATTGTGACGTCTGGTTCCTATCACCACCACTGTAAAGAAATCTGGGTCTGTAAGTTTCTCTACAGTGAACCATTTCACACCTAACCACTCTGAATGACTTTGTTTACATCTCACTGACTGAATTATGGAGAAATTTTTCAAAGTTAGTGGAAATGCCCTTAAAGTACTTAAAATAACACATATTTCAAAATCAATCCTAAGTGAAATAGGACTCTCTGGAGTATTTCAGCCCTTTGTTCCTCCACCATGGCACTGAACCCCTGCTTTCAGTCATGCTGACCCCTGGCCTCCCTCTCACATGGTATAAACGTTCTCTGGAGGTGAAAACCTACCCAGCAGGCTCAGCAGAGTAAACGCGTACCTCAGCAAAGGTTAGTGGTGCTGGCCTGCATGCTAGTAACCTGAACAGGGCACGAAAGCTCACTATACTGAAAAAAAGAGAACGCAGGAGAATAAATAGAGCCCGCTATATTTACCCGGAACGCTCTAGAAATCCTGACATCGCCGCTGTGCGTGCATTTTAACATTGAATAGGCCTTGCGTGTGTGTTTGGAGTGAGTGTTTATGGGTTTCCTGATCCTGTTCAAACACATTCGAGCACAGTAGCCGGTTGGCGTGAGCACAGAGAGCTGCGTTTGGCCTTCATGTGAGCTGGGACATGTTTTCCGGATACAGATCAAGCCCAGTCTAATTTAAATCACATGGTCAATGAGGATGTTCAGTTTAAAAATCATTTTTAGCCTTGGAAAGGGGTGTCAGACTCCTGTCCTGGAGGGCTGCAGCACTGCACAGCCAAAAAAAATGATATCTTGGCATGTGAAAAGATCTTAAATCTAGCCAATATAGCTAGATTTCCTATTCTGACATTGTTATAAGAGTACTATAAGATTATTTAGCTCATTTCTAGACATCTTGACTTGCTTTAAAGGGCCTGTATCGCAGAAATGTGCATTTCTGTCACAGTTTTGAAATAAAAGAGTTTGAAGTAACGTGTAAACACTGTTAAATGTTTCAAAACCTGCCATTTATTACACAGTCCATACAGTCTATATATGAAAACTATGCTGTGAAAAGAGCTGGTTTTGAATTCATTGTTTTTGTGATGTCACACAACTCATTTACATATATTGACCTATATAGCCTATGGATGTTTAGCACTGCCCATTCGTGCTTAAGTTCTAAAGAGTGTTTCTAACTCTGAGCGCCTTTTCAATGAGGCACAATACAGGGCCGTCAATCAGAACTGCTCTCATTTGCATATAACAATGTTAAAGGCACAGTTATGAAAAAACAGCCGGTATTGTTGTAAAGGATAAACAGAGGTTGGAAAATGCTAATGCAAAAATGATATGACATGATTGTTGGCAAATAAAACAGCACTAATGTTATGCCCATATCATGTAAAACATTTTTTCTCACTTTTTTTGAAATACAAGAGTGTGATTTAGTATGTAAACATATGGAAACATCTATATATGGAAACTCAGCTGCAAAAACAGTCTCGTTTTGAATTCACCGTATTTGTGATGTCACAAAACCAATGCTTTTACACGTAAAGACGTATCCTGCCTACAATATTCTAGCCCTGCTCATTCAGGTTAAAGCTGTACTTCATTCAATGAGGAACAACACAGGGCAGCCAAAAGCAGCCTGGTTAATTCTAAGGGATATAAAGAGGTTAGAAATGGTCAAGTAAAATGTTCAGGATGGTTTTTTGGTACATGGCATCACACAGATGTCAAAATGTAGGATAGGGGCCATTTAAGTTCATGAAATAAGATAATGAGTCAGTAGAATAAGAATTTCTCTAGATAAACTTATTCTTCTCTATCCAGTACATACATATGTGCACAGTATGTGCATTTCCACACTTAAAAAAAGTTTTAAACTCCCAAGATTACAAATAATCAGACCTTTTGTGACTTAAGTCAGGCATTCCAGAAAAAAGGAGACACTAAAATGTGCAGTGCTACTTCTGGGGTTAACATACATCTGGAACATTTTGTCCCTGGTCACTGCTGTGGGAGTAGTATTGTGCTTGCTGGATTGCAAACATAGCTGTTATCAAGCAGTGTTATGCTAAATCAAACTCTATTTTTATATAGCTGAGAATAATGTTTCTTTTCTGTCTTCAGGTCAAAGAAGAGTCACCAACTGCAGCTCCATCCAGCCGCTCCAGCACCCCAACGCCCTGGACACCCAACCTGTCCCGCCGCCTCAGCAGCCCAGAGGGCCTCCACAGTGCCGTTTGGTCCCCCAGCAGCCAACGGAGCACTTTAGTTACCTCCCCACCACCCCGACCCATCTATAACCCAGCGACCTCCTCCCCAACCCCAAGAACCATTCATAATCCCATTTCCTCCTCTCCAACCCAAAAGTCCATCCAAAGCCCCGTCAGTTCCTCTTCAACCCCAAGACCCTTCCATAACCCAGCCCCTTCCACCCCATTCTGCAGGCCCACCAGTAACCGTACTCCCACCACCCCTGTTTCTCCACCTTGGGAGAGCGGGTGCCAATCCCCAATCAGCCCCCAAGACACCAAGGCCAACCACCGCCTCCTGGCCAAGAACATCATCAACGCAGCCAAGCGGAAGAACAGCCCGTCGCCTGGGGCTCTCAGTGGGCACAACCTCCCCATGTCTCCAGTCAGCAGCAGCATCCTGCCCTTTGAACCCAAACCTGCGAGCCCCTTTCAGTCTCGCTCTCTGGGGGCCCAGTCCCCGACTTTCACCAGCCCACCGCCAACTCCCACCCGCATGGTCCGCTCCCCACTGCGCCTCTACAACACCCGTTCCCTCACTGACTCGGACGCCTCCCTTGAGTCGGAAGATTCAGGTGTACGCTCGCCCGGGGCGCGCACCTACAACACCTGCCCACGTGGCTGGACCGGGAGCCTGAGGGTGAAGCGGGGAGGAGTGTCTGAAGATCTGTAGGATGCAAGGATTAAGGGAAACAGGTTGGACTACAAATTGAACCAGACAGTGGACCAATTATTGAGAAAGCACCAGTGGTGGTCCCCAGCCTTGCTCCTAGAGACCTACCTGCTTACAGAGTTTAGCTCCAATCACTAATTTGGCACATAATCAATGTCTTCAGTAGACCTTGGATGTTTCTAAATACCAATAATGGACTTCTGCAGAAACAAACTCAAGAATGGAGAGTGGAAGAATTGACAGCATACAGTACTGTGCAAAAGCCAGAGACCACCCTTCATTTATGTAATTTCAAGTATAAATGGTCGAGCTCAACTCTTGCTTCGGATCTGAAACATCCACAGGTGTTTCTGTTCATCCTTCTACTGTGAGAAGACAACTCAACGCTATGGGTCTGAAGGGATGTGCAGCTGTCGAGAAGCTGAACAATGGACTGACCACCCCAGAGCCCAGACCTCAACATCACTGAATGGGTTCGGGGCTACCTGGATCATGAGAAGCAGAAAGTGCTAAACCAACTTCTGAGACTGAACTTTGGAGGTATCCACAAAGAAAGTAAATGAAGAGTGGTCTCTGGCTTCGGCACAGTACTGTACCTTGTAAGAATGGAGAATATGTTTCATTGTCGTAACGTAAGTCAGAACAAGGCATTTCTTCATCATGAGGCATTTCTTCAAAGATTGCATTACTCACTCCATGAGATGGTTCTGACTCACCTCTTCTGCCATTGCAATGATGTTGGGAAATCACATTTATCCCTAATGACAAGTTACCGACTGATGCAACCTCAGGATTCAGAGCAGGCTAAGAACACTTCTGGGGTATTTTTACCATTCTCAGAACCATTCTCTACGTTGTTGAGTGTTGGAATTGGAAGATGGGCGTCAAGCAAGTCCACAAGAACCTACACAAACGTATATTGACACTTCTTGATTAGCATAGGTGTCAAATTTGGGCTGAAATTCAACTCTGCAGGAAGGTTAACTGGGCTGGTGACCCTTGGACCAGAGACTGGACTACAGTCAAGGGATCATAGATACGATGGATGAGAGAATGGATGAAAGAACAGACGAGAGACTCTAGGGACCGTTTCAGATTCTCTAATTCTGCTTCCAAAGTGGCCTTTCGATTCTGAATGTAATGCTGGAGACGTTGATAAATGCCAGTGTTGTTGGCTGTTACTCTATCTGGGATTATGAAGCGATAATGAAAAGATTTTTTTATCCTCTAAGTGGAAATTCAGTCCCAGTGATTTACCTGCTCTTACATGGCTGATTCAACTCATACAGGGCTCGATAAGGGGAGGTAGCTGATGAGTGGAATCAGGGAATGCTCAGGCCTGGGACTGAACGCTTTTGCTTCAACTGCTTTGCACCTGACAGACTATGCGTTACATGGTAACACTTTACTGAAGGGCAGCATTCGTAACTTCTTCATAAGCCTTTCAAGACAGCTAACATAAATCTACATAGTAGTAGTGGGAGGTATGTGCATACGTTGATGTACGAACAGTACAATCCAGCTAATGTTAGCCTCTTTAGCTGAGTGGCGGAGCCAGGGATGTTTCAGTGATGTTTCAAATGAAAATGGAAACACAGCAGACCCTCGATCACCTCCCGCTGTCTAGTACCTTACATCTGAAGTTGTCCACTTTGTTTTCGAGGCAGCAGATATGAAGGAATAGGAGTTAGCATTAGCCTATCCCGGACACCAGATCGATGCCTGAGAAACCACTTGATTTAGTCAGCTGCCTCAGGTCAGCATTGCTGTGGTCAGGGCCTTGTGAATGAAATAAGCCATGGACCAGCTGATACTGGTGACTGTATAATTGTAATATTTTCCTATTTCCAGCAGCGTCAGACGTGTGGAGATTCGAGTATGTGGGCCACAGCTACACCCTTAAAAAAGATGGTTCTTTAAAGGTTCTTTAGTAAAGAAAATGGTTCTATATCGAACCATGAACACTCAAAAAACACTCTTTGCATCATGAAATGGTCTTTCAGAATGTGTTATAAATGGTTCTATGTAGAACCTTTTTAAAAAGGGTTCTATATAGCACCCAAAAGGGTCACCGTGCTTGCTGACTATTGATTACAAACTGGTTGATTAATCGTCAAAATTATTTTATAGATTGCTTAATTACTTATATAAGTGAAAGACAGAACCTTACAGTCTTATGAATTATAGTTCTTTAAGGGTTCTGTAGTAAAGAAAATGGTTCTATATAGAACCATCCATCCATCCATCATCCAAACCGCCTATCCCTCCGGGTCGCGGTGGGGTGCTGGAGCCCATCCCAGCAGTCACCGGGCGGAAGGCAGGACACACCCCGGACAGGTCGCCAGTCCATCGCAGTATATAGAACCATGAACACCCAAAGAACCTTTTGCACGATCAAAGGGTTGTGAGTGGGTGAGGTGGTTCTTCAGATTGATGGCGAATGTGCTGTATATGGTTCTACATAGAATTTTTTAAATTGGGTTCTATATATCGCTAACAAGCGTTCTTCTATTGTTACGATGTCAAGCTTGTAACAATAGAAGAACCCTTTTCAAAAAGGTCATATGTAGAACCATCTACAGCACATTCTCCGTCAATCTGAAGAAACATCTCACCATGCAAAGAACCCTTTAATCATGCAAAAGGTTCTGTGAGTGTTCATGGTTCTTTATAGAACCTTTTTCTTTACTAAAGAGCTGTTGAAGAACCATCTTTTGAAAGAATGAATGAAACCAGAGAAAATCGACAAAGTTGAAGCGTCTTATTCAGATTTGCCCGTTCCACCTTAAATGGTGCAGAATGTAACTGCTGCTCCATTTAAGGTGGACCGAAAAATTCAAACCACAAAGAAAACCCAACTTCATCTCTGTAGAAATTCATAAGACATAAAACAACATTTAGCACCATTTTTGCCAGGTTAGTGTAGTGAACAATATTGACATCTACATATTGTTGAAATTAGTTTTTATTATTTAGCACAAAATAGATTTACTCTGATTATTATTATTAAAATGGTTCTTATTGAAGTGTGAAGGCACATCCTGGAATAATACGTCACTGTTAACCTACAAAAATAGGATGGATTAAGCATCTAAAGTGGTTTTATTTAAATATATGTGCACTGTGATTTATTCCAAAGCTGAAATTTTGATTATACTGTGATATACATTTCAGGCCATATCGCCCACTACTACTCATCTACTCCTACACAGCATATTCCAACACACATCACTTATCATAACTCTTGCTGAAATAGCTCTATAAATACTGCCCTACCGTAAAATGTTACCCTTTTTTTATTAACCAAAGACTTTCCATGGCTTCTAGTGACCAAAGACATAACCCATGTGCAAGAACCTTCAAAGCAGTGTTAGACGTTCTTATTTTCCGTGTGTTGCCTCCTCTATTGTAGGTCTAAAACATGATTTGCGTTTTTGTTTTCTGCCTTTTTTTGTACAGTATTGCTTTGGAAACGCTTGAGAGTACAAGGACATGATTTGCGGACGATGTTTGCAGGCCTGACAAATCAAACAGAAGGAATCTATTGGTACAAGACGACTTGAAAGTCATATTTGAAAGGACTGAGCTTTAACGTGAATAGTGATCATTCATTTTCGGTGGCGTGAATGACGTGTATGAATTACCGTATGTGCTATAAAACAGTGAAAAGTTATTGTGAGGTGGCTTTAAAACAAGGGATTACTGCACTATGCTTTTAGACCGCAAACTTTGTATATGGACAATGCTGGTGATTTGCCATTTAATCAAAATATTTGCAGTTTACTGTTTACATATGTGGCTGTATGTAAGAGAGACTCTTGCTTGTACTGTTTGCAATGTTTAAAACATTTTTTTAAAGCAGAATTTTTCATTAAAAACTATGCGTAATTCAATAGATGAGATGTAAGCAGAGTCTATCAGAGCGGTTTGGTCTGAAGTGGTTTACTGTAGAGAAGCTTAGAGACTCAGATGTCTTTACAGTGGTGGTGATAGGAACCAGACGTCACAATGACTACAGCGCAAATATATATACATTTTATTTACTACCAGTGAACCTACACGTGTCTTCTGAGTGGTTATATGGGAGGTTGGTGATGGTAAAGCAGTGAAAAAAAATGTTTCCTTTGGGAACTATTTTGCCTTTTACTGTCCTGCATGCACTACTTCCACCACAATCGGCTATTAATGCATTTTAGGGTAAGATATTCTCTCAAAACTATCCTAAAACAACCTCTCAGACATGTAGGTAAGATATTTGTAACCATTTTATGCAACGGCTTTCTGTGAGGGAGCTCTCAATGGCTTTAAACTCTGGTTCTGACGTCTGGTTCCTATCACCACCACTGTGAACTATTCTGACTCCATAAGTTTCTCTAGAACTCAAGAATCCCACACCAGTCCACTCTGAATGACTTTATTTACGTCTTAACCGTATAATTATGCACACATTTTGAGAAGAATGTGAAATTTCCCTTTAATGGAAGCTAGAAGGACGAGGAGAGTGCATCAGATTGCCGAGTGGATTCTAGAGAGAGACGTATCGACTGATTTCATGTAATGACAGACGTAATGAAGTGACTCTGTGATTCACCTTGTCTAATTCTTCACTTCATCCACTACATTTTGGAGGGAAGCCGTAAGTGACGATTAGAAAATGACGTTCTTACAGGACGTGGCTCAGACGGTTGTGGGGTAGGTGTATTTGGGAGGTGACAGAGCTGCATTTGTTCGCACAGGATGTATATTTGCTTTACATTGAATTCTTCAGTTAAACACTACAGCTGAAGGACTGCTTCACCCAGACTTTATCCAGTTCCTCTGAAAGAAACACTATGGGAACCATTTAGCATCACGCTAACAGGATTATCTAACCTTCATTCAGTATTAGCAACATTAGCATTTCTGAGCGAAGTATCGCTTTAAAGGGAAATTCCACCAAATTTTCAAAATGTCTGCATAACTTAATTGAGATGTAAAGTCATTCAGAGTGGTTTGGTGTGAAAAAGGTTCAAACTTACAGGCTTAGATTTCTTTACAGTGGTGGTGATAGGAACCAATGTCTACAGTACATCATCAGTGATCCTATAGGTTTGTGTATGTAATGTTGATGATGGTAAAACAGTGAAATCTGGAAAACAAGGTTTTTCTTCCTTTTAAACACCCTGCATGTGTCTCTCCGACATGAGTAGCTTCTAAAAAATGCATTCTAGGACAAAACCCCTCCCAGAACATGTCTTAGGCATTAAAGTTTCCTGTGATGGAGCTTTTAGCGGCATTAAACTCTTCAGGCGTCTGGTTCCTATCACCACCACTGTGAACAACACTGTGAAAGTTTCTCTGGAACACTGTGTTTCACATTCAACCACTCTGAAGGGCTTTGTTTACATTCAGTTATGCAGGAATTTTAGAAAAAATAGTGGAATTCCCCTTTAAAGACTTACCTTAAAGGCTATAGATTATTAAGCACCATAGCTGGTACAAATATGGTGAGACCAACTGTGGCGGTTGTGTCTAAATACTGTATTTCAGAAAGAAAATGAAAGAGCACATACTACGTTTAGGTTTTTTTTATAGTTGTAACATCACTTTTTGCACTTTTTGTACTCAACAGCATGCATGCAACTCGGTGTACTTCACACAGGACGGACTGTGCTGCACTGACCGCAGTAATGATGGAGGTAAACATTCCTCAGAGCGAAGCCGCTGAGATTGTGCAAGAATTAACTATCACATAATCAAGTTACGTGTCGCACATACTGAGGGCGCCTATATCGGCCTCTGGTGGAGAAATGGATCCCAGCACATGCAAAAGTGATTCTTCTCTGGAGTCCTGACACTCTATATTGGTACATCAGCAGATTTTTCTAGTACTTACATGCCCACATGCCCTGACTGACAGGGACACCAGCTGCAGGGTGACTTGGCACCTTTGACTAGAATATCCTTCTCAGAGTGAGGATGCTTTTTCAGCCCCGCGTCAAACAAGCCTCCCCTGGGCTTCATCTGGACTTCTCCAGGCAGCATTTCACTTCACTTTTGTTTTAAACTTTCATATCATGAATATGCAACCAGTCTTAATATCCCTGCTCTCATAAATGCTTTGTAATTTATGAATAAACACACAAAAAAAAATGTTCTGACTGTATTGTTCGTTTTGTGCTTTTGGAATTTACTACAGATTAGAGATGTTAAAGCTACACAAAAGCTACATGTAAGATTTGGGGATTTGGAGACCTCTCTGGTGGGAATGTGTAATTGCACACAATGTGCAGAAGATTGTTTTGTTACACAGGTTGTGTTTCCAAACCCCATGGGATGAAACTGATGATTGCGAGTGTTGATAGGGAATTCAAAGAGAACTTAGGGATGTGATTTAAGCAATAGAACACGAGAGGGAGCGTGTTATCGCGAAATAACATCACGGCTGTGATTTGGTTGCAGGCACGAGCCGAAGCCGATGACACACGACCTTGAGTGTTGTGTTGCTTTTATACAACAGTTAAATAAATGAAGTAATAAATTAATAAACTGGGCCGTGAACGCGGCGTTTAATATATTTTAATGTTCGCAGTTCCTTCCTCCGAATTATAGTTCCTGAAAAAGCAGCTCGTTGCTACGGCAGTTCGTTCTCCGGCTCCTTAAACAGACCAACTGACAGTTTGGGAATTCAGTGTAGTCTCACCTTCAGAGTCTGACCAAATCGGCTGTCGGTCAAATGTGATCTTAAGTGTCCATTTTCTGTTTGTGGCAAAGTAAGAAGTAAAAACATTCAAATGGCTTGAGCGTCTCCTACAGCTGTCAAAGTCATTGCTTAGCAACGGCGTCTCAGCGGAGTGATACAGTGTTTGTGAAAAACACTGATGTTATGGCGAAATATCAGCACAGTTAGAACGCCTCTTGACCAATCAGCTTGCGTGGCCGGAACGAACTGTTGTATAATGAATTATATTGTCATCATATCTTCATCAGTATAATGTTGATTTTGCATTTGAGACCTGAACATCAAGCCAGACCCTCTTATTGACTCTGTGCATGTGACGTTAATACGTAAAGGCGCATCGCGTGATCCGAAAATCTGTGAAATCCAACATGACGCCTCTAAGTTATGTCATTATTTCAGGCTTCACAGGCCGACTTGCAGTACCTACATCATATATTAGCCTGTTTTTTCTCCTGATTCAGTAAAGCTACTTCTTTCAGTTTTAACAAAGAAAAAATCTTGCATAGTGTAGCTTTAATTGTGGATTTTGCAATAAATGATTGCTGTAGTCGCTGATTCTTGATCATGAAGAAGGAACAGCTCCACTCTTAAAAAGGATGGTTCTTTAAGGGTTCTTTAGTAAAGAAAATAATCCTATTAAGAGCCACAAACACTCAAAGAACACTTTGCATGATTAAAGAGTTTTTGCATCATGAAAGGGTCTTTCAGAAAGTGTTGTAAATGGTTCTACATGGAGCCTTTTTAAAAAGGGTTCTATATAGCACCCAAAAAGGTTACTTTGCTTGCTGACTATTGATTACCAACTAGTTGATCAATCTTCAAAATCATTTTTTAGATTACTCAATTACTAATATGGGTGATAGAGAGAACCCCATACGCTTAAGGATTATGGATCTTTAAGGGTTCTATAATAAAGAAAATGGTTCCATGCATTTGCATGACAAAATGGTTCTTTGACGAAATCTTGCATGGTGAAATGGTTCTTAAGGCTGATGGAGAATGTGCTGTAGATGGTTCTACACAGAATTTTTTTGAAAAGCGTTCTATAGCACCTAAAAGGGTTCCGCTATTATTACAATGTCAAGCTTGTAACGATAGAAGAACACTTTTTGGTGCTATATAGAACCATTTCAAAATATACAACACAATCTCCATTCATCTGAAGAGCCATTTTGCCGTGCAAAGAACCGTTTAAGCATGAAATGGTTCTCTATAGAACAAAACAGACCCATTCCCTTTACTAAAGAACCCTTGAAGTCATCTTTTTTAAGCGTGTAGTTAAATATTTTTACAGCCACAAACTGGGTGAATAAAATAATACTAATATAATACTAAAAATAATACTAAAATAACACTAAACTACTAAACTGAGTCAACAAAAAAAGTTCCTTTAAAGGTACAAGAGTGGTCTATCGGTGAATCACGAGAGCAGTCTGTCAGAGAGCTGGTCAGCATTTGCAGATGATGTTGCTGTAACAATATGAGAAAGCATCCAAACTTCTTCTACTTAAATGTCCATTATACAATCTGTGTCACTGTTCACTCCTGTGATGCAGAGATCTGCTCTTTTCTCTGGCCTGAATGAGCCCCTCACAGCTGACCCAGCGGTGAATCAGGTGTGTCCAGACAGGAGAAACTGAAAAAAACGCAGCGCTCTGGCTCATTGGTTCTGAACTCCAGGCCTGGGAACACCCTGTTCTGCACAGCCTGCTCCAGCTCACCTGATCCAGCTCATGAAGGGCCTGATAATTGGCTGAAGAGTTGGATCAGGTGTGTCGGGTTGATGAAAACTGTGCAGGGCGGTCTGTTCCCAGGACTGGAACGGATGAAGATGATGATGATATATGATGATATATAATGAAATAAAGCAGCGATGCACAGATCATCCTACTGAACTGGTTCAGTAGTTCAAAACTCTTCTCTGACTTTTAACCCCTTTAAAATCCCAGGATTATGACACACTAAGGCTTATTATTTAGTAACTACAGGGACTTCAGTGCAAACTGGTCATGCTACTCTTAGGTTATAGAAGTGTGTCATAAAACTTTGGGCCATTTAAGGGGTTAACAGACTTGGACTTTAGACTACCAGTATTTTGCTTTGAGTGACCCAATAGTTTAATTATGTTTATTTCCTTTAAACA